TGAAACCTTTAGCACATATAAATTATGTATACTACTTTACTTATCATTTATGTAATTCTTTAATTATCTGAAGGATAAAAGAATCATTAATTTGCTTCAGTTGAGACAACTGGAATGAACTGAGTACTATCACAAACTTCATTTGGAACTTCCTAAACTCCCCTGAAATACTGTGGGAAACCCACCTCTGTGCTTCTATGTATTTCATCCTTTATGCTATAAAATGAAAATCTAGTCATTTCACTTCTCATTTATAGGCTGGTGGTGGCTCCCTATTATCTAAGGGTGAAACCTAAATTCCTAATCATTTTATATTTAATTATAAGGTACCAAAAGTCTCCAAATGCAAAATAATGCTTTTTGTTCTCCACAAATCTAGATTTGCACTATCTAAGTAGGAGTCATTAGCAAGGAGCTACATGTGGCTACTGCATACCTGAAATGTGTTTGGTATAAGCCACAACGTGCCGTAAGGTTAAAACTTATGATAGACACTGAAGACTTAGACGAAAGTGCGATCTCTCATTAATAATTGTTTACATTGATTATGTTGAAATATTTTGTATAAGTGTATTATTAAAATTAACTTTCACTCTGTATTTTTTGCTTTTTAAATGTAGTTACCAGTTACATTCATGGTTTGTGTTGTATTCTACTAGGCAGTGCTGATCTAGATGATTCTTACTAGTAATATTCTCCAGTATTTCCACTGGGTACCTCACTTAATTTCACAATGGCTTCCTATTCAAAGCTGGAGCATTAACCTACTTTCTCTTGCTGAGAAGACAGTTTTGTCTTACAAGGTCTTTAGGAAGTGATAGTGGGTTAGGAAGAGTGAGTTGGGCATCCATGGCCCACAGGGGTGACACAAACTTGTTTTTCCGGAGAGCTCTGCTCCTGCTGCCTGTCTCAGGTCTTCCCCCAGACTGTTCTCACTGTCCTGCACATCACTGACAGATCAGGGTCTCCTCCTCACCTTCCTACTTTCAGGGTGGCCTAGCTCTTTTGTGCTGCAGAGCCCTTTTTAACAAGGGGCTCCTCACGTAGAATCTGTGGATATCTAAGAGGCTCTTGGATAGAATTCAGGCAGTCTGTGAACATGGATGGAAAACATTTAAAAGCAAGCTTCTTGGCTAGGAATGTAGCTTTGTGGCAGAGTGCCTGCTTAGCATGCGTGAGGCCCTGTGTTTGAACGTCAGCACAGCAAAACAAAAAACAAGCCTTTAGAAATACTTACACTTTGCCACTGATAGTAATTTATTTTCATTCACTGTTGCAATTTTCTTGAAATACTGTTTGCATATATCACTACTCTGAAATTATAGTAGTAGACCCTCCATTAAACTTTGCTATTTAATGTAGTAATAAAAAAGCACGTGTTTAGTATTCCACAGATTTGTTCTTAGTATTTCAATAACTACTTTGAAATAGTGGTGTTACTTTGGAATCCTAGGCTTTTTATACATTTAAAAACATTTTTTTTTTTCTTTC